TGAACGGATCTTCAAGGGCTTCTGGGCTTAATCTTGAAGGATGAACGGATGTGTGGATTTGTTGAGGTTGTTGATCCAAAGGGGCCGTTGGGGCTTGATCTTAGGATGAACGGATCTTCAAGGGCTTCTGGGCTTAATCTTGAAGGATGAACGGATGTGTGGATTTGTTGAGGTTGTTGATCCAAAGGGGCCGTTGGGGCTTGATCTTAGGATGAACGGATGATGAGCGATGAACACTTTCTTCAAGGGCCGTCGGGGCTTGATCTTGAGTTGGTGGAAGTTCTTCAAGGGCGTTGGGGCTTGATCTTGAAGGATGAACGGATGATGAACGATGAACACTTTCCTCAAGGGGCCGTCGGGGCTTGATCTTGAGTTGGTGGAAGTTCTTCAAGGGCGTTGGGGCTTGATCTTGAAGGTTGATGGATGATGAACACTTTCTTCAAGGGACCGTCGGGGCTTGATCTTGAAGGATGAACGGATGTTGAACGATGAACACTTTCCTCAAGGGGCCGTCGGGGCTTGATCTTGAGTTGGTGGAAGTTCTTCAAGGGCGTTGGGGCTTGATCTTGAAGGTTGATGGATGATGAACACTTTCTTCAAGGGACCGTCGGGGCTTGATCTTGAAGGATGAACGGATGTTGAACGATGAACACTTTCCTCAAGGGCCGTCGGGGCTTGATCTTGAGTTGGTGGAAGTTCTTCAAGGGCCGTCGGGGCTTGATCTTGAAGGTGGATTTGACGAAGAACGAAGATTGCTTTCTTGATCCTTCGGGATTTGCTTGAGAGCTTTAGAGTTTCAAGGCTTCTTTCTTTCTTCCTTCCTTCCTTCCTTCCTTCCTTCTTTCTCCCTCTTCCTCCCAAATGAATGCCTTTGGCCTCCTATTTATAGAATTCCAAAACTTGATTTTTGGATTTAAATAATCAGATGAAATAAATCATTTCTGCCAGGTATTGACACGTGTCATATTTGATGACTTTTCCAATTTATTTCGATTTTTCGTTGAGGCACACGCTACATGTAAAATTTATGTGACACGTGAACATTGAAATTTTAATTATTGGTCAACATTCATTTCACCGAAATTTTGATGTCTACAAATGCCCCCACTTCAAGGCGCGTCGTAGACATGTGCTTGTCACGTGTGGAAGATGCGTTTTGAAGTCCCTTAATGTAGATGTCAACCCAAGGGCCGTTGGGGCTTGATCTTGAGTTGGTCTGAAAATTTCTTCAAGGGCCATCGATGCTTGATCTTGAGCTTGACTGGAAGATTTTCTGGTTTCCTCCAATCGTTGATTTTCCACAGGCTTAATCTTGAACTGGGCTGGAGGATTCTTTTGGTCTCCTCCGAAGGTCTGAACTTACTCCTTTTATCTGGAGTTGAATTTGATTCAAGGGTGGTGAACACTTGATTTTGAATCGGACTTGTGATTTCTTCAAGGGCCATCGAGGCTTGATCTTGAACTGGGCTGGAGGATTCTTTTGGTCTCCCCCTACCGTTGATTTTCCTTTGTGCTACTCTTGAATTGGGTAGCAGGATTCAGACACATGGCAGGCAAGCAGGAGGTGGAAGTGATGACCTGTTTCTTTGTTCAATCTTTCCCCAATTCGTATTGAAGAGGGTAGATCGGAAGACTGACTCCAAGTGCCGTCTGATTGCTCTTTTCACTTTGTCATGCGAGTAATAACAAGGACAAAGGAAAGGACATGGAGAAAGCATGATATAAGATACCTTTGCTTTTGAAGAAGCAGCGAATGAATCAGCACATATATTTGTTGTGCTTGTCTCCACATGCTTTGATGTATCATTTTCACTTGTCTTACTTGCTCCCTTTGCAGAAGTGGTATTTCCTTATGCAGGTTTGGCATCTTCTCGTGTAGTATTTGTCCTCTGATGCAGGAATGGAATGCAACCTTTGCATTTAAATGGTGCTTCAAAACATTACTTCTCCGCGACGATGAGTACTCGAGAGCAATGCAAGGTAAGCAACCAGGCAAAGGTTCCAGGCAATCAGTTCCAGGTCGGAAGTTTGATTTCAGGTTCCGACTGATAACTCTATTTCCCCTTCTCCTGCATGTAAGAGCAAGGACAAAGAAAAGGACAGGGAAAAAGCATGATATGAGATACCTTTGCTTTCGCCCTTGATGATATGAGATACTTTTGCTTTTGAAGAAGCGGTGAATGAATCAGCACATGCTTCCATCTACCGTTTCCTCCTGGGTCATTTGTACTCCAGGCATCTGGTATCATCTTTGGGGAAGAGGAAAAAATTGAGTATTTTGAGATGTTTTGCTGGGAGTGTACTCTCGGAGGTGAGGAAGAGTTGGACATTTTTTTTTTTCCGCAGGTCTGCCTTGCCATAAAAGATGAAGGTCGACATATATAGGGATTTTCCCAATAGCCAGTGGTGGTACTGTTCTTTTACCCTTGTCGACAAACGTTTTGATCCCGCAAATTCGGCTTTTTGAAATAGTGACGACTCTTCGATCTTTGAATACGCCTCTTTGATTTCTGAACGACGCCTCTTCGATTTCTGAACGAGCGTCTCTTTTGACAAAGTGGCACGCGTTTTCTGAAAAGCAGAGAAAGCGTCGCCGAACTTTGCGCTTGTCAGCTAAAGATGTGTAGCTGTGATGATGACCTCCACGTGATCTTTTGACAAAGTGGCACCCGTGCTCTGAAAAGCCGCGAAAGCGTCGCCAGCCTCCACGTGTTTTCAACTTTGTCGGAGATCTTTTGACAAAGTTGAACGCGTTTTCTGGAAAGCCGAGAAAGCGTCGCCTAACTTACGCCGAAAAATCCAGCTTTTGAGATTTGCAGAGCGGTGTCTCTTCACTTTTGGACAAGCGGCCCTTCGATTTCTGAGCAAGCGCCTCTTCGTTTTTATAGAGGTATTGATCACCTCTAACATGCACACTTCGAAGGTTGCTCATTCCTGAAAATCATCTCCGGCCTTTTGAGTTTTAACTTCATCCACCCATCTCTTTTAACACCTTTGAAAAATGGCTAACCCATCGAACCTTAGCTTAGAATTGAGTCTTAGCAGTGATCCGGTTGCGCCGCTTCAAGGTAATGTATGGTGTCCTTCTTTCTTATCTTCTAACGGTCCTCTTACAGGTGAAGACTCCGTGATGCAGGACGCCACAACAGCTACAATAGTAGCTAGGAACCTCCTTACTCCAAAAGATAGTAGGCTGCTGTCGGGACGGTCCGATGAGTTGGCCGTTCAAGAGTCCCTCGCTCTTAGTGTTCAGTGTGCGGGCTCTGTGTCCAACATGGGCCAACGCCTGCTTGCTCGGTCCCGTCAGGTGGAATCATTGATGGCAGAGGTGGAAGATCTTAAGCAGGAGATTAAACAGCTTAAGTACGAGAATAGAAGTTTGCATGTGCTTGCAAATAACTATTCGTCGGGCATGAAGAGGAAGCTTGATGAAATGCAAGAATCTCAAGGTCGCATTCAAAGTGACCGTCAAAGGCTTGCGTCTTTCTTCCAGAGGCACATTTTTCCGGCGTCATCAAGCGTTCCACCAAGTATTGGGGCCTCGAATGATCTATCTTCGGTGCCTCCGGCTCTTGGAGTTTGGCCAAGTAGTGGGGCTTCACGTACACATCCTTTGTGAAAGCTTCAACCCTTTTTTTTTTTTTTTTTTTTTTTTTTTTTTTTTTTTTTGTACACAATTGTAATTTCTCGAAAATCAATGAACATGCTTTGTTTTTTTTTTTTTTTTTTTTTTTTTGTTTTTTTGTACACAATTGTAATTTCTCGAAAATCAATGAACATGCTTTGTTTTATTTAGTGTATTGTGCTAAATACAGAGAAAACATGTACAACACCGTCCATCATCATTTTTATTCTTTCCTTTGCTTTCGGTGGCGCTGATCCACCATTTATATATATATATATATATATATATATATATATATATATATATTTCAGATGGTGCCAGAAGCATCATCATTGTTTTTTTTTTTTTTTTTTTTTTTTTTTTTTTTTTTTCTTTCTTTTTATTATATATACATTTTTTTCACATGGTTCCAGAAACATCATGATTGCTATTTTTTTTTTTTTTTTTTTTTTTGAAAGATGCTTCCCAGCATCATGATTACCATTTTTTTTTTATTATTATTTTTTTTCTTTATATGGCCATCTGCAAGGCTGAGTTCGTGGGTGAAAACCCAGGCGAGTCCGAGAGAAGACGGAGGAGATCTTTGGGTGTGAGTTGACAAACTTTGATTTTGTCAATCACATTCAAAGGCAGCAGCAGAGGCAAGCAGACGGATGAGATCTTTGGATGTGAGTTGACAAACTTTGATTTTGTTGATCACATTCAAAGGCAGCAGCCATGGCGGAGGTGCAGAAGCAGCCAGATCTTGAGGCAGAGTGTAAGGCGTCGTGTTTGAAGACCGGCTAGTCGTTTGACAGCGGTCAATGAAGCTCTTCGCCGATTTTGACCACGGTGGCTAGAGTGAAGCTGAGGGTCTTGCAGGCGAGGAGCTGCATGGATGGAGAGGAAGAAGTGCCTTGTCGTGTTCTGTTACTTTCTCTTAACCTCTCTTACTGACTTCATGTTCTTTTGTTGCAGAAAAAAAAAAAAGGGGGGGCAGAGCTTTTGGATTTGATTGGAAATTCACAGGGTGGTGAACGCAGGAGGTCTCGGGTGTTTGGAAGATGGTGTTGAGAAACGGCATGAACAAATCGTCAGAGGAAAAAAAATCGAGCAGCTCCGGGTTGCTGGAGATGGACTTCTGGAGGGCCATGGTGAGGGTTTTGGTGACAGATATATCCACTATTGTAGCTTCAAAGATTTCAAAGCAGGACATCCTTGGGCCACAGAAACCACCCCTTTGTTGTGTATGCACTCTGCATCCAACGACAAGTTTTCGAGAGACTTGCAGTGCAGCCCCACTGCTTCCATTGCAGTATCAGTTGTCTTTGCACACGCAGTGATACCAAGAGACTTTAATGAATTCCCAACACTCATAATTTCGATATCCACGAAATTATCCAAAACAAACTGAATATAATCTCAAAATCCAAATACAACTGAGCTTCGAAGGACAACACGATCAATCCAAAATCATGAAAAATAACCCCCTATAACTCACTTCCTGCCATAGACTCTTAACAGCTTGCCTGTTCCTCTTCTTGACACCAGACTTGGCAATCTTGAGGCTCTTGTGAACAGCACTCAACCTTGCAAGGGCTGTTTTTTTTTTTTTTTTTTTTTTTTTTTTTTTTTTTTTTTTTTTTTTTTTTTTTTTTTTTTTTCGGAACCGGCCTGTAATGGTTATCCGCCACCTGATTCGCAACCGCCTTGGCCATTCTGCGAAACTCCTGCTTCATCACAGACTTATGCAACAGAGCAGCTTCGATGCACAGTCCACCCTGGTCATCAATACCATCCTTGGATGCACAGCATCAGTGTCTTCATCTTCTTCATGTGGTCAACCATGATGATGTCCTTGTTACCGGTGGTGGTAACAAAGATATCGGCCGCAGAGACAACATCCTCAAGGGGAAGAACCTGAAGGCCTTCCATAAGAGCCTGGAGGGCGCAGATTGGATCAATCTCAGTCACAACCACGCGGGATCCAGCTTGCTTGAGGGCAGCAGCACAACCCTTGCCGACATCTCCGTATCCACAGACAACGAAAACCTTTCCGGCAATCATAACATCGGTCGCTCTCATCAGACCGTCGGGGAGAGAGTGACGGCATCCGTACAAGTTGTCAAACTTGCTCTTGGTAACAGAGTCATTGACATTGATGGCGGGAAACAAGAGAGCGCCGCTGGCCTGCATCTGATACAACCTCTTGACGCCGGTGGTGGTCTCCTCCGAGACTCCGACCAACCTGTCCTTCATCTTGTGGTACCTCTTGGGATCGGTCTTCAAGCCATCTCTGATGATGGTCAGAACGAGCTGGAACTCCTGGTTATCGGTGGAAGACGGGTCGGGGAGCGTCCTGGACTTCGCGAACTCCTCCTCGGCCTTGACTCCCTCGTGGATCAAGAGGGTGGCGTCGCCGCCGTCGTCGACGATCAGATCGGGTCCACCACCGGGGCCCCAGTCGAGGGCGCGCTCGGTGCACCACCAGTACTCCTGGAGGGTCTCGCCTTTCCAGGCAAAGACGGCGGCGCTGTCGCGGGCGATGGCGGCTGCGGCGTGGTCCTGGGTGGAGAAAATGTTGCAGGAGCACCAGCGGACCTCGGCGCCGAGGGCGGTGAGGGTTTCGATGAGGACGGCGGTCTGGATGGTCATGTGGAGGGATCCGGTGATGCGGGCCTTCTTCCTCGTTCTTTTCTTGCTTCTGCTGAGCAGTATGTGCAGCCAGCTTCCTATGGATATCCTTCTTCTGAGAAAGCAAGCACTTGAGAATGCATTCCTTGCAAAAGACGTGGCCTTTCTGGCAGAGATAAGTTCTTCCTCAAAGGTGATGATCTCAAGCTCTGAACATCTGAAAGCTTGGTTGATCTAGCTTTCTTCATCTTCTTCTTCTTCAAATCAGCTCCTCTGTGTTTCCCATCTTGAAACTGAGAAGACGTCTTCAGGCTCGAAAACCGCTTCTCGAATTTATCATGATCAGCTTGGATTCCAAGCTTGTTTGGCACCTTTCTTTGGACCATATTGAAAGGAAAACCAGAAGCGAAGATAATTCAAGGGTCACAGAGGAAAGTCATTCCCTCATGTCCCATGCTTTGTTTTTTGCATGGGGAGATTGCATTGGGAAGGCAGGAAAGGGATTCTTGGAAGCCAACGGAGCAGAGATTCCATGGGAGTTCTTAGCTTTGGTTTCCTGCTTGCTCGGCAGATGATGCAGGGTTTGTTGAGAGAGAGAGAGAGAGAGAGAGAGAGTGAGAGTGAGAGTGGTATTGAAAAACGGTGGGTACAAGATGTTTTAGAGTTTTATTAGCCACATCAGCATCCTGCTTTTTCCACCATCTCACGACCAATCAAAATCCACCTGGCATGGTGACAAAGTCTTGCGCCCCACCAAATTCCTTGGGAGTCTCTCCTTTTGTGGACTTTTTCTTTGAATTGGCATGGGTTTTGTAGGCAAACCCACTTTAACATGTATAATTTTTTTTTTTTTTTTTTTTTTTTTTTTTTTTTAGTAGAGAATATATATATATATATTTTTCTAATACATAGTAACATATGTATTTTTTTTTTCTTTTCTTTTGTAATGAAATTGACTTTCTTTAATGAAACATTTATTTATTTATTTTGATGTGACTGTACTTGAAGTTTTGAAGTTTCAAGTTGCCTACGTACTCTTCCAAAGAAGAGATCAAGTCATAACGTAGTTCAAATACATATATTTTTTGTTGGTGCCGTACACAGTTTATGCTCTTGCGGGCCAGGAGCATCTTGGTGCCGTTTGCAGTTTCAGCTCGTGCAGGCAAGGAGCGTTTGTTGTCGCCTTTTATGCTCGTGCGGACAAGGAGCTTTGGTTGTCGCCTTTTAGGCTCGTGCGAACGAGGAGCTTCTTAAATTTGTCAAACAATCTTAGAGGGGCATTCCTTGCAATCTTCATAGCAAGGAGTCTTGACTGAGTGATTGAAGAAGTCTTTGGGGAAGAAATCGCGCATCGTGATGGCAACGGACGATCTTTGTGTCATAACTTCGTCATCCTCCACACTTTCATGTAGCTTTGAAGGTTGACGGTAGTTGCTTTGCCCCCTTTCCGATTGGTGAACTTGTGGAGGAGACCCATGTTTCTTGTGCATTTTCTTTGGAGTGACATAAGTCCATCCTTCAACTTCACTTGACTTGACTGACATGGTTTTGGAGCATGCCCCCAGCGGTTGAGGTGAAGATTTTGAGTTCAAAGAGCCAGAAGTGACGGTGGTATAGTTTGACTTCACCACATCATTAAGATCTAGCTCGATGATCCCTTTCTGAGCCAACTTCATGATGAGATCTTTTAGCACAAAGCACTTTTCCGTCGGATGACTAATGAAGCGGTGGAATTTGCAGTACCTTGGACTGTCAGTACGGTTCATCTCTTCTGGCCGTTTGCAGTCAGGGAGGTTGATCACCTTTTTGTCAAGCAAGTCTTTCAACATGGCAACCACGTCAGAGTCGGGGAATGGATAAGTCTTCTCCTCAAGCTCCTTCAAAGTGCGTCTACGTGTCTCTTGATCACGAAAAGCTTCGGTTTGAATCGCCTTGCTTCGTGTAGGGATTTTGACTGGAGTTGTGTTGACCGTCATTGCTTCCTTGGTGGGTTTCCACGTAGCCTTATCCACCTTTGGCCCCAAAACTTTGTCATTCTTGTAGTCGGCGATCTGTTCTTTCTTCCCATGACGGTTGATGCTTAACTCCATGTCATGGGCGCGGGTGGCTAACTCCTCAAATGTTCGTGGTTTGATGCCTTGAAGGATGTAGTGTAGTCCCCACTGCATGCCTTGAACGCACATCTCAATGGCAGAGGTTTCAGAAAGCCGATCTTTGCAATCCAGACTTAGAGAACGCCATCTATTTATGTAGTTGACGACAGGTTCATCTTTCCACTGTTTCGTGCTGGTCAGCTCTAACATGCTTACAGTACGACGAGTGCTGTAGAAACGGTTGAGGAATTCCCTTTCTAGCTGGTCCCAACTGTTGATAGACTCAGGTTCGAGGTCAGTGTACCAGTCAAAAGCGTTACTTTTCAGCGAACGCACGAACTGTTTGACGAGGTAGTCTCCCTCTGTCCCAGCATTGTTGCAAGTTTCAATGAAATGGGCGACATGTTGCTTCGGGTTGCCTTTTCCATCGAACTGCATGAATTTTGGGGGCTGATAACCCCTTGGCATCTTCAAAGCATCAATCTTCTTGGAGTAAGGCTTTGAGTACAGTACGGAGTCATGCGAGCTTCCTTCGTACTGTGTCTTGATAGTGCTTGCAATCATCTCCTGTAGTTGCTGGATAGAGAGAGATCCCATGGACGCCGTTGCTTGGTCTAGTTTCAGCTTCTCTTCGACTTTCTCTGCTGGAGGCTCCTCTTCTTCGTCGCCTTCTTTCTTTAATAGGCCAACAATTGGGTCGACTTTCACGTCGAGCTGCGCATCTAGTTGGTTGACGAGTGCGGCAATCTGCAAGTCCTTCTCTTCCACAGTCCGTGTGAGCTTTGCAATTGCTTCATTCATCTGAGCTAGCTGCTCCTCGATTGAAGTTGCTCCAGTAGTCATGACTTGCATGGTTGTACTGCCGCTTGAATCAGCGTCGGAGAGTAGGGACTCTGAGTATTTCCTTGGGCTCTCCCCTTTTGATGCCCTTAGCGAGGCTAGGGTGATCACAGGCTCGTACCTCAGGTGCTCTTGTTCCTTTGACAGAGTTAATGCAGGGGCGGAAGCCGCGGCAAAAAGATCTCTTGCCTTACTTCGGGTTATGATGCCCGAAATATCACCACTTGCGGCGATGATGTTCTTGTTCTTTGCTTTGATTGCAGGAACAGCTTGATCCTTTCTTGATGCCATTTGCGTTTTGATGATTTGAGGATAGAGATGAGAGGTAGAGATTGTCCCACTGGGCGTGCCAAATTTGTAAACACGAGAAATTCCTGAAACAAGCGACAAGAATACGTGTACAAAATAATATTTTGTATTAATGATTTTGGGGTTACAATCTCTTTGTAATTTGGTCCTCTGATTCTATCTTCGTAGGGTGTGGGTTTGTGGATGAGTTGTTGATCCAAAGGGCCGTCGAGGCTTGATCTAAGGATGCACAACTGATGAATGGATCTTCAAGGGGCGTTGGGCTTGATCTTGAAGGTTGATGGATGAACGGATCTTCAAGGGCTTTTGGGCTTAATCTTGAAGGATGAACGGATGTGTGGATTTGTTGAGGTTGTTGATCCAAAGGGGCCGTTGGGGCTTGATCTTAGGATGAACGGATCTTCAAGGGCTTCTGGGCTTAATCTTGAAGGATGAACGGATGTGTGGATTTGTTGAGGTTGTTGATCCAAAGGGGCCGTTGGGGCTTGATCTTAGGATGAACGGATCTTCAAGGGCTTCTGGGCTTAATCTTGAAGGATGAACGGATGTGTGGATTTGTTGAGGTTGTTGATCCAAAGGGGCCGTTGGGGCTTGATCTTAGGATGAACGGATGATGAGCGATGAACACTTTCTTCAAGGGCCGTCGGGGCTTGATCTTGAGTTGGTGGAAGTTCTTCAAGGGCGTTGGGGCTTGATCTTGAAGGATGAACGGATGATGAACGATGAACACTTTCCTCAAGGGGCCGTCGGGGCTTGATCTTGAGTTGGTGGAAGTTCTTCAAGGGCGTTGGGGCTTGATCTTGAAGGTTGATGGATGATGAACACTTTCTTCAAGGGACCGTCGGGGCTTGATCTTGAAGGATGAACGGATGTTGAACGATGAACACTTTCCTCAAGGGGCCGTCGGGGCTTGATCTTGAGTTGGTGGAAGTTCTTCAAGGGCGTTGGGGCTTGATCTTGAAGGTTGATGGATGATGAACACTTTCTTCAAGGGACCGTCGGGGCTTGATCTTGAAGGATGAACGGATGTTGAACGATGAACACTTTCCTCAAGGGCCGTCGGGGCTTGATCTTGAGTTGGTGGAAGTTCTTCAAGGGCCGTCGGGGCTTGATCTTGAAGGTGGATTTGACGAAGAACGAAGATTGCTTTCTTGATCCTTCGGGATTTGCTTGAGAGCTTTAGAGTTTCAAGGCTTCTTTCTTTCTTCCTTCCTTCCTTCCTTCCTTCCTTCTTTCTCCCTCTTCCTCCCAAATGAATGCCTTTGGCCTCCTATTTATAGAATTCCAAAACTTGATTTTTGGATTTAAATAATCAGATGAAATAAATCATTTCTGCCAGGTATTGACACGTGTCATATTTGATGACTTTTCCAATTTATTTCGATTTTTCGTTGAGGCACACGCTACATGTAAAATTTATGTGACACGTGAACATTGAAATTTTAATTATTGGTCAACATTCATTTCACCGAAATTTTGATGTCTACAAGACTCTTTCTCCAACACAGTTACAATTTTGTCTCATCCTATCATTTATTAAGATTTGGATTCTATCTGGATTCAAATGGTGGGAATCTTAAGAATTCTCACATCTTAGTCATTGATCGCAGTTAAAAATTATTTGAATTTTTTTATTTAAAATTAAATATAAATAGTACCTGATGAAAACTAAATGTACGATAAACGGTTAGGATGTGAGGATCCTTAGGATCCCTACCAAGAAGATCCGGAGAGGATCCTCTTTCCTTGGTGTACCATGATTTCACTGACGATGGACTCAGGGGAGAAATAAAGCTCCAGGAGTTATGGACTCTCTTTTGAAGCACAAGGAGCATTTGAGGACGTGTCCCCACTCCAGCAACATTTCTACTATCCGCACTTGACCACCTGCTCAATCCGTCAGGTGTAGGGTTTTATCACAAAAGGCCTCGGTGTTAGTTAGAGTGGGGTAATTATATTTAAAGGGCTTGTTCTCAAGCCTTTTGACCAATGTGGGACAGAGGAATTCTAACACTCCCCCACACGTGAGACCCCATTTTATAGGTCACACGTGAAGTTCCACACATCGACAACCACGTGGAGCCAAACCAGGGCTAACTCGTTCGCACGGGGCCAATGGGGACCCGCCCATTCACGTGGATGTA